TTGTCCCTCCACCTCTTAGCTGCTGAACATGTCTCGAGAGCTTACTGATCTGAAGAGCAGCCTGCAGGCAGCAGAGGCAGCCGTAGCCAGCGACTTGGAACACAAACACTTGGCCCACACTCACTCACACGCCACCCAGGTGGCAGCCATGGTTGTGCCCAGCTTCCCCACCTCAGAGGCAGCGGTGCAGGCCATACTGGAGTGCCTTAGGAACCATGAGTTCACCAAAGCCGTGCGCTACATCCAGGAATGCAGGTGAGCAGCACGAGGCCATCAGCATACATGAGTGTATCCTGGGATTTAATGATTTTATTATTTTGTCTCAACGTAAAAGAACAAATGATCCAAAAAATGACCATGTGAACACACTGTGTCCCCATCACTTTCTCCAATCTTTACAAATGATTTTGAAGTATATAATAAGTAGACATTATAAAGGGCTGTCATTCCTGGCTGAGAAACTTAAGCTTGGGAGATGTTGAGGTCTATCTATCTCTCTTGTGCTTCTGTACGCAGATGATATTGTAGTATTGACAGAATCAGAGCTTCAGATGGCTTTAGATGGAGTAGAAAGATGTTGTGTAGACAGGAAAGTGTAAATCCTAATGAAAGTAAAATTGTAATGTTTGCATGAGGTAAAGTAGGACAGTTCTGTGGCTTTAAATTTGGAAATCCTGTAATACAAGTAGAGGAGGATCCAAGGCATAGGTGTCAAACTCTGGCCCGCGGGCCAAATTTGGCCCACAGCCTAATTACATTTGGCCTGCGAAGCCATACCAAATTATTATTAGAGCTGGCCTACTGGTATTATACAGCTAATATATATATTGTTTAGTATTAAGCTTTGCTTGTTCCATATTCAGTTTTCCAGCAAAACTTGTTTGAGTCCATAAGAAGAGATTCATTCTTAAATCTGGAGGAAGATTTTTTTTTCAGTAAATATTAATGTTAGCCCGCTACTTTGTTCCAGTTTTGAATTTTGGCCCACTGTGTATTTGAGTTTGACACCCCTGTTCTAAGGAGCTTGGAATGAAAAGCAACTGAACTTCTTTAAATGTCTTGAAGATGTTTCACCTCTCATCCAAGAAGCTTCTTCAGTTCTAAGACCAAATGATGAAGACTTCCAGATTTTAAGCCCTAGAGGGGATTGCCCCGTAAGAGGGTCGTTGACCCACTATTGCTCATGTGGCTCATCACATGATCCAAGGTGTGAAAAAAAGGGTGTGGTCCATTATCAGCGTAAGCTTCGGGTGAAACCATTTTTAGACCTTGCCTCACCCTATCATTTGACTTATTGAGATCAAGAAGTGGGGAGATTTAAGTTGATAAAGATAAAGTTAAATGTAGGATGATTGGTTTTGGGTTTAGATTATCGAATGGAAATAGGAATAAATTGTACTTTTAATGTCTATTTTTCCAAAGAATCAATATGATAAAGGTGTTTTGAAGTTACGGTTAGGGAAGTTAAAACAAATATTTGATTATACGGGATTTTCTTATTTATGGGGATATACCGGAGTGGTGAATGACCGCTATATAAAAGCAGCTGTTAAGATGAGAATATCCAAACCTGAGGCAAAATTGATAGACCTGATATGTTTAACAATAGCATCTGTATAAATTACAGAATATTTAGGCAAGAGTTCGAACTGAAAAATTACTTGCGTAGTTTATTCTATATGGTGTTATTTGGCAAGGTATAGATGTGGGTCTAGTGGCATTCCTGTACTTATGGACACATTTTATCAAGTTGAATATATTAATTGTGTATTTATACTTTGTAGCTTGATCCAATGAATCAAGCTACATTGAATATTGAATATAGAAAGTATGTCTCTTTATATCTACCTGTAATAATTATAATACTTTTTGTGTCCATTTCAGGAGGCAGTGGCCCAACGGAGTGTTTGGCGGAAGCTCAGAGAGTGAGGTTCAGACGCTGCTCAACGTCTACTTCCGTCACCAAACGTTGGGCCAGACGGGCACAATCGCCCTGGTCGGTTCCCGGCAGGACCTCAGTCTGATCTGCTCCAAGCTGCTGGAGCTCAACGGGGAAATCTGCGACATGATCCGCCACGCCCAGGGTTACCGGGTCGTCACAACTTACCTCCCCGATTCAAGTGCCTCCGCGACCAGTCTCTGACAGGACTTCAGGAGCCCCCCACCCCCTCCTTCTCCACCTTTACTCCCTCCATCACTGCAGCCATTGACCCTTCCAAGACAACCTCTGCAATCCTCTCAGCCTGCTCTTACAGAGGGGGCCCAGCACCCACATACCTGGCCCCTGCCGCCTCCTATGTGTCTGCTGCCCCAGATTCACAGCTCCAGGCAGATACCCACTTACCACCCTGCCCAGCACTAGAACCTGAATTAAACCTTTCATTCCACTCTTCATCCTCATCCACTGCAAACTCTGAGACCTCTTTACTTAATTTTCCCAAACCCCCCGACCTGTTCTCTGCTCATAGCTCCAACACGCCAGGCCAATCACATTTTACACTGCCGCTCACACAAGAGCCAAAGAGACGTTATCTAGATGAGAACGCAAGCCTTTATTATCCTATCAGAGTACATCCATCATGCAGTTTACCGCAATCACATTTCCACTGCAGCAAACACCCGATATCATCTCTCACATCCAGCTCTCTCCCAACTGTGGCCTCAGCGCCCACCTTGCTCACACACTCTTACACGAACCCATCGCCCATTTCTTCCCGGGGCTCTCATCTTCCCCATTTCCCATGCTCTCCGTACAAACACTCAAGCCCGTCCTCGATTCTGCACCCGGGCCGTGACACGGTCTTAACTCACAGCCCTTCATCGAGTTCATCTCTTCCCCCTCCCCCACCACCCCCTCCCTGTCCCACCGGCCCAGGAGAGGCTGCAGCTTGGGGTTGTTGTTGCTCCTTCGGCGGTGCTGCTACGCCTTTGACTCGCTACCTGGGGAAGGTGGGACAAGCTGCCCTGCCCTTACTGACAGTAGGGGGGCTCCTGAATACTGAACCGTCAGATGTCCAAACCTGAGACTTTAAAGTTACCACGCCAGAGGACCTAACGATCCAACATCAGGTCTTTGCATCTGAAAAGTAGACAATGACATACCAGAAATAACTGGACACTTTAAATGTTTAAGGACAGGGAATCATATCCCATGTATAATGGGATTTATCTCTGGATACTACATATTGCTGCCTGCTGATAAGAATGACCTGATGTGATTATATACAAGCGCAGGCTTTGCTTCTAAAGCTAGATGTCGTGAAAAATAATGTACCTCCTTGTTTAAGTCCCGCTTGACGGTCATAATTCAGCATCTAATCTGTGCTGCACTCCGAGGACCTGTGAAGGCTTTTAGCTTGGACTTAAACTGGCTTCCCAGAGGAACTTTTAGACATGCTTGACACTTGCTGCCTCCTTCAGGAAGGATGAAAGAGACAGTGAGGAAATGAGCCGTGACACTACGTAGCATCACTGGAAGAAGTTTCCTCTGTGGAGTTTTGTTATACGTTTTTTCTAAATGTTGTAGAAAGGAGATCATGTATGTTTTGTTACTGTGAGAGAAAAAGGCTGTCACTTTTATTAAGAAGGAAAAGCCAAATGCTGGAGTGATTTTGTCTCTACTGTTCTGAGGCCTCCTCTGGAGGAAACTGTGCAATGCATGACCCAGCTGAATGCTTTCTACTGTACGCTCCCGTCCTGTCCTTTTCGCTTGGCCCAGACGTCTGACCTCAGCCTGATTGAAAGACTTGCTGACAGAGCAGATGCAGAATATTCAAGCGCATTTCTTTACGCTGCTCTTTGGCCTGTTTCTATTATTGATATTCTGTATCAGTGAATCAACTTGTCCCCTGACTACTGTTGTAAACATTGGTAGAGTAATCATGCCATTATCCGTGCGTGGCGTGCACCCCTCCGTGGCTAGCTGTAGCATCTTTAGTGAGCGTAAACACTATATTTCTGTCGACTTGGTGTTCACATGCAGAGAAGATGGCGCATGTACACAGTCAAGTATTTGCCCGTCTGTATACTGCTAATCGTTACTGTCACACAACCATAGTAGGATATGTTTGTGTGGTTTGTAGTTACCTTACACGTAAGGGAAATGCTGACATTCTGCACTCATTGTAGATGTGCGAAATGAAACCCACGCTACACACTACTGAATCTGAACTCGTCGTTGTCAGCCTTTTTGTGTGTGTGTGAGAGACTCTCCCTTGGTTCGGATCAAGCAATCATTTTGCTGTTGCTGTACAAATGTCTTCTTTTCCTATTTATATCTGATCAGATATGAAACGACACTTATTTGACTTAAGTTTTATGATGATGTTTGTTCTCTCAAATCAAACTGCCATGCATGCATTTTCTGTTTACTGTATGGAGTGTTTGAAATATTTATTAACAAGATAATTTTATCTGAAAGATACGTTTGTATGAGGTACAAAAGGGAGCCACAAGCTCACGCGGGTATGTTTTTCTTTTTCCTGTGTGTGGGAGAATGTGTTTGCATGCCAAACAAGAAGTTGCACATTTTTAAAGCTTTTTAGATGAAGACAGTAGTTGTTTTTTCACCTTGTAAATATTTTCACAGCCTTTGTGAAGTTGTTTTGAGTTGAAGCTCTGTAAAAGTTGTTAAAGTAAAGACCTATAACTTATGTTGTCTTTTGGTGCTTTATAAATGACTGAAAAACTAATTGTATTCAAGGGGCTCTGCCCTCTTCCTACATCTATCAATGTTCTCTGCAGTCTTCCTCCTTCCTGGCAGCTCCATCTTTAACATCCCTCCTCTACAAATGTCCAAACCCTCTCAGCTTTGCTTCACTGTGTCTCCAAAATGCTCAACCTGAATGGTCCTTCAGGTATATTCATTTCTAATCCTCTTTCTCCTGATCTTAACAGCTTGAAATCTGAACATTTTTAGCTAGACACGCTAGTATTGTTAAAAAAAGAAGCTTGGAGTAATTTAGAAATTGTGCCATCAGTTTGTATGGGAGAACATTGTATCATTGCAGTAGAGTAACATAGTCTACTGTGTATAATAGGCAAGCACCCCATCATTTCCATTTTGACTTCATAGTGTATGTATACATTCAGGAATCTCAACTTTTAAGGTGCAGTGTTTATTTCTTCATACAAAAATAGTTTTCATGTTAGGTACCAGGATCAGTGAGGGGGAATGAATTTTTAAAGTTGGCTCAAACCAGGGCAGCGATTGGAGTGACTCTTCAAGTTTGCTACTGGGGGCGGTGGCAGCTTCTCTTTGTGGCATGACTTTACACATCAGCCTTATTGGTGTAACCTCAGGCTTTCACGGCGGGCAACTTAGACGATGTATTTGAAGCTGTAGGTGGCGTCACAGGACAGCTTCATTCCCTTGCAGCGACAGCACAGGTCCTGACGGTGAGGCTTCTTCATGTTAATGTGCCTCTGCTTCTTCTCACAGATGCAGCAAGTCTGAGAGCAACCCTGACAGGGGGTGTAAAAGAACATCACCAGCATAAGAAACAGCACAGGCTTTTCTCATCCCTACAGAAGGAATGCCTTACTGAGACTGATAGTGCCTTAGAAATGTGATCCAGTTTATTTAAATGCCCCACACAGAATCTGACTGACCCTGCGACTCCACTTTAAGTCCAAGTGAACAAATCATCTTGCGAAAGTTCCTCAAAAACAAGTTCACGTACCTTGCACAGGATAGATTCCACTCTGTAGGGGTTAAACCCCACTTGGCACTTCCGGCAGAGCTGCTTGTAGTACACCTGCCAAAGCAGTCGCTCTATTTTAGCTCAGCAGGCATTTGTTTGTGCAATGCTCGTTACCACTAACCTTACTCGTTCCAGAGATGCACCATACATAAGCACTCTCCCACCGGATGTTGCACTTTTTGCAGTGGAAAAACCCATACCTCTGCTCCAGGAACTGGAAAAAACAAAGATAAATAAAATTTGTACAAAATCTTTTTTTACCACAGCTGGGTTTTTCCCTGTGGGCTGCACTGACTGTAAACATTCTGATGATACTTTTATGGAGAATGTGAGTGAGTGCATAGATTTTGAACTTAACTATCGTGATATGTTTTGAGTTTCCCATTAATAATGGCTCTACCCCGTTACCATTCATACTACAAAGTAGTTAATAAACAAGATAGTTTTTCAATTTAAAAACATTTTTTTATCTTTTCTAAATACAGAACAGTCTGGGCAATTAGTATCTTATACTGCCCTTTATTTCTTTGTATTTTTGAACACGTTATGATCTTTTACACTTCTTAAATCTTAAATAAATCGAGTTTCGTTAGATGTTTTTTAGTGTAAAAAAAGTACAGAGTTAAAATCAGAACAAATTTAAATGAGCCTACGATGACATTTACCAATTAACTAAAAGAATCTATATTTTCGGATGGATAATAGGTTTTAAATGACAGTCATACTAATTAGGCTATAGTTTGAGGGCTTGAACCATAGATGACTGAGGGACTTTTCTGAGTTACATCGTGGATTGGAAAGCTAAAGACAGTGCTCATTGCCATTTCCCCACACGCATCCACCTGAAAGTTGGATCCCTTTGGAGACCGGTGGAAAGCTGTCTTGGAGTCTTCTGGGGCTTCCTCGCCACTTTGATCCCCATCGGCCTCGGACGTGGCCTGCTCGGCGGCGGCTTCACCTTCTCCTTCACCAGCGCAGTCTTCGAGTTTCTTTAGGAAGAGCCTGCGGTCAAACACCGGCGAATAGATGGACACGGGCCTCAGGAAGCGCAGGTTGCTCATTGGCGGCGTGTGGCACTGCGCCTTCTCCTCCGGTGTGGACGCATCGGGGCTCATGGGGAGCTTGCAGGGAGTGGGAAATTCATCGAAAAACAGCGTTTTGGGGCCCAGAGAGCACTGGACAATTTTATCCACCCTGGCGTTCACTTGCACGCCGCACTCTTTGGTGTTCGCCTTCTTGAGCTGAGGGGGTAAACTGGGGTTGACCTGGGACAGGAGGGTCTTGTAGAGCTCCAGGTAGTTGAGGCTCTGGGGGTTCATGAAGCGACCATCTCTCTTGCCCCAGTTGCCGACCTGAGCCGGGGAAGCGCAGACAGGGTTACCATATACATTGTATGGTGGAAACGTGGACAGGAACCCCTCCATCCTGGAGCCATGAAACCAGTCCAACTTCGTGCTCGTGAGATTTATAGCCTACACGTACCTTCTCTAGGCACTGATTGGTTAATTGAGAACAGCGGCGTGCAGGCTCGAATATAGGTAGAGATACGGTGCCCTCTATTATTTATTAATAATAAGGCTCTGTTGACTACAGCAAGAATGGCTGGCTATGCATTTGAAAGTGTAGTGGTACATTTTTGGGGCCATCTTTAAAATTTAAGTTAAATTAAAATTGTTTTTTATCAAAAAACTACAGAAAATCTCTGCTGAAACAAGACTCTGTGCCCAATCCACTTCTGCAGCAAGCGCGATGCTTTATTTGAACGATCCAAATCCGAAATGTTATATTGGAGCTCCCTCTATGGGCTGGCTCATGTTGGCCAGAGACCCATCGGAGAAAGACAAAGCAAGCAGGAGATTAATGAGGCATGCAGTTACATCTTTATTTATTTATTTATTTATTTTTAGTTGGACGTTATGTGAACTAGCTTGGCAAGAAGGTTGTATAACTTCAGTAATATTGCTTTTTTAGTAAAGCCACTGAAGTCAGAAAATCTATCATTTGAAAGCCAAAAATGTGTTAGACGTATTAAAAATGTGAATGAGTAGGTTAGCAAACAAAGGAAATTGAGAAATAAATACCCATGGGCATTGTCCCATAAATGCGATTTTTATTTTTAAAATGTCTGTGTGAATAAATGACTTTATATGGTATATATTCTAACAGTAGGGGTGCACTTAAAACGCCAGAAGGGCCATTCAGCAGCAACTATTTATATTTGTAATTCCAGTTTACACAGGATTAACGTAAATGCACCATTACTGTCATATTCATGCGATCATTTTCACGCACAAACCCCTTTAGTTGAATCATGGGTTGGTGGTGAGTTCAGGCTCTGTCGGAATCCTGGGTTTTCCGTTTGATATGCAAAACAGACAACAATGCCTTAAAGAATAGTGTCAAAACATTATCGTTTGGATGTTTAAAACTCTATTTTTAAAACTGTGGGATTAAATGTAAACTCTGTTTAAGAAAACGAATGTTTTATTTGGCAGGGTTCGTGTATTTTATAGGCCTGTGCTAAATAAAATCCACTCTAAATTAATTTAGTGTGGGTTTTTTTTATTGCAAATTACCTGCTTTTATCTTTAAAGTGCGCTTCACGAGGACTGTTAGATATATTACAGGAACTTTATTTTATATGTGTTTGAATACTCGAAATCTTTTTGGAAATTTTTACGAACAAAAACTGAAAAAGACGCTCTGCGCGTCACGTGAAGGGCTCAACAGAAGTACCCGAACTCGCCCTATAGGTGGCGCTACCCACCCATCGATGGTTTTTACCCACGGGCACTGAATCTATACATATTGGCGCCATTTTGGAGCTAGGAGGGGGAAGAGAGCTGCAGAGGAGGACACGATTTATCACAATTCACCGTAACAGGTAAGAAAATGCACAACGAAGCGAATCGTTTTGATTGAAAAGCAGCGATATTTTCGGACGTCGTTGCCACAGAGTCGATGTGATCCAGGATGTATCCGCGGAGCTCCCGGGTTTCCAGCGCTAAAAAAGGCGGAGCAGAGCCCGCCTCGCTTGCCTGTGTTCTCGGCAGCCTTGTCCGATTCACAGCGCTGGTTGACCTGGTCCTGCGGCGGAACAAAAAAATGGTTAGCTAGTAAAATAGTAGTCTGCTGACTGGGCTCCCCGCAGCACGAACAGACAGTGGGGGTCGGGCTGGTTGTGTGAGCGGGCTCGGGATATTGATATGGATATAACGGTAGTTAGCCGGTGTGTTTTGTTCGGTGCAGCGTTACTCTCAGTCCGCCCTCTGTCACTGAGATTGCTCTGCTGCTAACGCTAGCTCGGCACGCTAGTTTTTAGCGTGGATACTAGCGAGCTAACAGCAGCTAGATGGATTAGCCACAGTCAACATAACAGCAATAAGGCAGCCTGGCCTGAACACGCTGCTGTACCAATAACAATACCCTCTATTCACGAACAGCTTCCCGACTGTGTAATAAACTCACCCACGTGAAATCGGCCTTGAGAATAAATTATTAGCCTAACTCTGGTAGTGATCTCGTAGTATTTTCGTTGTGACGCTCATTATTGCGGGCTTTTAGTGAAAGGCGCATTACTTTTTTTTGTTTCTTTAAATTGCAGAGACCTGATCCTCTAGCGGTAATTGTGTATTTAAGGCTTCTCGAGATTTTAAAGACTTTTACTTAACGAGTTTGCGCAACAATGAAAATATGAACACAAATAGAAGCTTTGGGGGTGAAAAAGTAGCGTGTGATCAAATAGGACATATTTATTTTTGAAGCTAAGTCGCTTCCAGAGAGCTGTAGGGCATCTGATGTGACCGCTATCAGTCTATATATGTATATGAAAAATATAATCTCTGTATATGTTTTTAATTTTATTATTGCTATTGTTTTTAAATCGCTTCATCATCAGCATTGCGTTTTGATGAGCGGATTAAAGATTGTAAGCAGTCTAAAATATCTGATTACATGGCCATGAAACGCTGGGTTAGATATTTGTTTCATATGGATTTCTCTACACACACACAAACACAAACAAAATAAATAAATAAAAAAAAAATCCTCTTAAAAATAACACAATTTAAAATCCCAAATAGGATTTTAATGTATTCATTCTTTGTGCGAATTGCAAATAAAATAATGCTACAGGCAGAACTCATTTATCAGGAGCTGCTTTGCACTTCTTCAAGAGATAATTTGGCCCTATTTAAAAAATCAAATGCAGGCTGTGCTCCTTTAAGCATTAACTGAATTGTAAACTGAGCTCAGTTATGTTTAGTCAAGCTCTTCCTCTTCAAAACCAAGATTTTCAGTTTGTTTCTCTTTGATGGTTGCCTCGTGGTGAATGGATACAGAGGAGTAATGATGTGTGTGCTGCCTAATACCCGTAGAGATGTGATTCAGCCTTCACTTGTCCATTTCATTTAATCTGAGGAAAAGCTCAACTCTTTGAAAGCGTTTCCCTTCTTCAGCCAGTTTCCATCGCTTTGTTTTTGTGAGAGTGCCCGTGCAGAGGTTGACGAGTTCGCCCTTAAAGCTGGCCGGTGTCCGGTTCCCTCTCTGTTTGCTGACATTCACCCTCATCCCTGTGATCACCCAAATGGGAGGGGGGTTAAAATCAAGGATGTCTCTGTCAGAGTTCGAATTAGGTTCGAAGAATGGAAAGTTCTCACATTTCTGCTGGCAGCTGCCTTTAAAAGACAAAAGTGGGAAGAGCATAAGCAACTAATGGGGGGCAGGAAAGGCTTTCGGTGGGGGGGATAAATGTGTTTTTACTGTGATAAACCAGTAATAAGCTGAAAGTAGCTCATGTTCAGGAGGTTGTGTATGGGACAGCTTGCTCCTTTGTGATTATTTAGTGCTGGTTCCCTGGTGGATGGTACCCACGCAGCCTCCCTAGGTTGAGAAATAATCTGCTGTGATTGGCTGCCAGAGCTCAACTGTGTATCAGTGTGGCAGAATGAGAGAGGGATGGACTCAAATTTGGCAGCAGCTGTGGGTGGAAAAGAAGGTCAGAATCAAGCAATCTGGCAGCTTGCCAATGTCCTGTGTGTGTGTCTGTGTGTTTTTGTAAAAGCTCAACTACAGCTACAGAAAACTGTTTGGTTGTGATTCATAACTAGGTTTTGGAGTCTGGTCTCTAAATCAAGCGCTTTTGTCAGACGGCAGACCCACTGACCGAGGCCGCTTCATAAATCAGTTTTTCTTTCGGGGTTAAAAGTAGCTGAAATTGAAGGAACAAACAGTTCAGTTGTGAGAGAAGAAAATAATCTGTTCATTTTTCAGGGCTTCTAATAGCTGCATATGTGCAGTGTTTTGTTTTTTTAATTGTATTTTGTTATGTAGTTGTATTGAATAAAACAACTACATTTTTTTTTCTTAAGGAGCAGAAGGAGATAATATTAGAGCCAAGTAAAACAAAAAACATTTGGCTAAATTTCATGCTGCCTGGTCTGAACTGTGGATCGGGCAGCCTAACAAATGCCTGTCAGGGAAGCTGAAGTGAGCAGTTGGATGAGGAGGATCTCGGTTTGGCATTTTGTGCACTTTCCAAAGGAATCGTACAGATTTCCCCACTAAAAGGTACTTATCTGTTATGGTAAATGGACTGGTTCTTCTATGGTGCTTTTCTTTTCTACTTGAGCACTCAAAGTACTTTGTACAACTTTCCTCATTCACCCATTCACACTCATTTATATGAGCGTTTTTTTGTTGTTGTTGTTGTTGTTGTTTTTTACTAAGCTTAAATGCTTTCTGTCTAACACTTTGACACATTCACACTCCAATGAACGCATGAGAGAGCAACTTGTGGTTCAGTAGCTTGCTCAAGGATACTTTGGCATGCAGGCTGGAGCAGCCAGGGATCGAATCACCAACCTTCGAATTATATTGAAAGGTTATATTTTGAAAGCTCCAAGTAGGATACTGGGGTTTGTGAAATAAGTTTTTACTTTTGAGCAGACGTGATGCCTTTTTACAGAGAGATATTGCAGAGGTATTAATAGATATTATTGTAGGATCTTTACTTTACAATATAAAGTACCTGTTGTTGTAATTTGTTGCTATATAAATAACATTGAATTGAATAGAGATCTATATGCACGCATAACCACAGGATTGCAGAAACTAAGATTGGGATATGATCCCTTTTTTCAGAATACCCAACCGTAGTCTGGGTTTCTGCAGTCATATAGCAGTTTGTAACACCATGTCATGCACATTGCTTGACAGCTGTCTGTCATATTGGTGCTTGGTGAGTAATTCCTGGATGTTGCTGGTGGTTATTGGGTGAAATTGGTTACAAAGAAGAGATTTTTGCTGCACCAAAAATCTCTGCAAACGTGCTAGCCGAGCAGTAGTAAACTTGGAAAAAGTGTGAAGAAAACTGCATTTGCCTTCAGAGTAAAACTTGTTTCAGCACGACAGTCAGCAAGTTTTGCAAAGGCCTGGTTTGTACTTTGAAGGCAAACTGTCTCAGTTTTGGCAGTTTTCACATTATC